GGATGTGATCTAGTGTTTCATCTTCTTCCTTGCAGAGTACATTTGGGATCTGTCGTTGAGTTTTCAATTCCGGCTTTGATGGCATTGGTTCAAATGGCTTGTTCTTGGGCTGCCAGAATCAGGCCCTCCTTTGTCTCCTTTTTCAGAGTTCCATTTGTGAGCCACAGCCATGTTTTTTCTTTGTCAATTTGGCTCTCAATTTTTCCCAGGAACTGTCCATGGAGAGCCTTCTTTTGCCAGTTTTCTCTTCTGCTGCATTGTGTTTTTATGGTATATTATTATTATTATTATTATTATTATTATTATTATTATGTCACACGCTGGGCCTGTAAAGAATTGTCTTTAAATAGGACGTGTGACTTGAGCCCAGAGGGAAGCCAGGGCCCCCCGAAGAGAAGTCCTCAGAGGTTTTCCACCACAAATGGTCTTTAGATGGCTTGTGAAGTATAACAAAGTCCTTTATTAATGAACAATCAAACAGAAACTTCTCTTGTCTTCAGTAAAGTTAAACAAATGATTCCAGGCTTTTATGCAACTGGTAGCTTCCTAATCTTGCCCACGAAGGACAGGCAACTGTCTTCAATAACTTCTTTTTTAAAGGAAAATCCCCTTTTTAACTTCTCCCAGGCTGACTGTAATCTAACCCTTACTGATGTGGGCTCCGCTACCGGGTCTAACTGCGTCTCAAACGTCGAGTGGACCTACCAGTAAAGGCTTAGATATTCTCCAGCTGGAGTTCTTTGGTCTTTCAAACTGTTTCCGAATTCCTCAGAGCTTTAGGGCTGGGAAATCTTTAGAATCTTTGGAGGCTCTTAAGACTGTTCTCCCCGGCAGGTCTTAAGGGTTGAAGCTTTTGTACAGGAGAAGCTTGAACACGTCCTGTACATTAGCTTTCCTTACTGAGGCTAACTAAAAATGGCTCCCTTCCCTTCCCAATTATTATTATTATTATTATTATTATTATTATTATTATTATTATTTACCTTACTTATATACCGCTGTTCTCAGCCCGAAGGCGACTCACAGCGGTTCACAACAAATACGAACAGCAAAAATTCAGTGCTACAGTATAGAAACAGTTAACAACCTAACACATTACACAATTAATAAACAGTTACTACAATACCCATTCACTGTCGTCTCGTCATCAAAAACATGTTCCAGATTAGTCATCCATTGTTCCATTCCAGTGTTCATTAACCAATCATTGCACTAATTATTCGAACGCCTGCTCAAACAGCCAGGTCTTCACTTTTTGCGGAATACCATTAGAGATGGTGCTAGTCTAATGTCCGTAGGAAGGGCGTTCCACAGCCGAGGAGCCACCATCGAGAAGGCCCTATCTCTCGTCCCCGCCAGCCGAGCTTGAGAAGCAGGCGGGATCGAGAGCAGGGTCTCCCTGGAAGATCTCAAAGTCCTGGTGGGTTCATAGGCAGAGATGCGGTCGGATAGGTAGCTTGGGCCGGAACCGTTTAGGGCTTTAAAGGCCAACGCCAGCACTTTGAATTCAGCCCGGTAGCAGATCGGTAGCCAGTGGAGTTGCCCTGAGCAAGGGGCGGAACCAAAACTTAATGATGATGGACAGGTGACTTGCCCTACAACTGCAACCAAAGGAAGCCACCTGTCTGCAGAGTCCCTGAAACCTTGGACTGCAAGCAAACATTTAATACAAAGCAAATAAAATTGGAGCTCCTGGTACAGCCGTACCAGCACAATTATCATTATTATTATTATTATTATTATTATTATTATTATTATTATTATTCCAATAATGAAAAAAGAACAATAACCTTTCTTTATCCAAACAAGAAAAACACTCCTCCCACAGGAAAAAAAACCCAAAGAGACAACCCATAAAGTGAATGGGCTGCGGATGTTGCAAGCGTACATTGATAGGCTGGAAGAAGACTGTACTACCTTTGTATCCTTGTCTACATTGTCTGCTTTCCTCCCCAAGGGTCATTATCTTCCTCCACGTCACCCCTTTAATCCGATCCAATTACGCTTCCTCTCTCTTGGCTTGGCCTCCCTGATGAGACCCAGTTTAAAAGGTTTACCAGTTAAGGCTCTTTTTGGCTGACTAAATATTTGAAAAGATGATTTCCCCGCACTCTGCTTGCTCTTTTAAAAGGGGAAAGGGCTACAAATGGTAGGAGACGGTGTAATGGAAAGCCCTGCGAAAGATACAAAATTGGTTCTGCACACTGATCCACCTTTCCAATACGAGAGGGAGAGGCTATCACATGATGAAAGGTTTGGGAACGGCTTTTGATTCGTTAATGATAACTTTTTGCCAACGGATAAGCCATGTGTTGCGCTCCGATTTCCCCTGCGACTCATGTCATTCCAAATCTCCTTGTAGGTTTTTTTTTTTTGGTTTTAATTATTTTATTTGAACTCTGGGAAAGAGAGAACCTGACATCTCTGGATATTTTTTTAGCACGCGAACATAGCCGAAAGGTGACATTTAACACATGTTTGATTTGAAAATTGTTTGTAATCCCTGCACATCAAATGCCAGTGAAAGGAGAGAGAAAATAGACACTTCCATTGCCATTCAACATTACCCGAGTAATAGCTGTGACCCAGGAGCGGTTACAAAACTCTATGCATGGTAACAGAGCAATTACAGTGATATTACCGCATTTAGGATTGCACAGCCATCATGAGCTGACAACACACAGTTGCCAGGAATCGGCAGATGGTAACTCCAATGCAGGCAGAGTGGGGAATTTGCTCTGAATTTTAGTCTGAACTTTAAAGGAACTGTCCAAGGTAACTGTTCTGCTTTTGGGTTGTTGTAGGTTTTTCAGGTTGTATGGCCATGTTCTAGCACCGGGATTGTGGCGCACCTGGCTGAGCGTCAGTTGCATTAAGATCACTCTGACCAAAGGTCATGAGTTCGAAGCCAACCCGGGTTGAAGTGGGTTTCCAACCAATTGTGTGTCGCCTGTTGTCGACTTTTGCAACCCGAAAGACAGTTGCATCTGTCAAGTAGGAAAATTAGGTACCACCTTAAAGCATGGGGAGGCTAAAATTAACTGATTTATGAGACCATAAAGAAGACTCCAGCAAAGCATTCCAGCGGGGAAGCATGTGGGAAATGCGGAAGTGCTTCATCAGCGTCGCAGATGGACGATGAAAGCAACAGCTCCCCTGGCGGCCAGAAAAAGTTAAATAGTCTCTGTGTATGTCTGTATATGTTTGTATGTCAAAAATTGGCATTGAATGTTTGCCATATATGTATACACTGTAATCTGCCCTGAGTCCCCTGCGGGGTGAGAAAGGTGGAATATAAAATCTGTAAATAAATAAAGATTATTATTATTATTATTATTATTATTATTATTATTATTATTAGCGGTGGGTCTGTAGGTGGCTGTGGAGTCCTATTCTTGATCCACATGTTCTTCCGCAGTGAGAATGTTGGTAATATGTAAAGTAAATAAGTGAAGTTGTGTGTGGAATTTGTTTCTATCATTTCTACCATCTCTTTCATATCTTCTGTTTCTTTGGGAGCACAAAACGGGAAGCCCCCTCCCTACATGAAAATCTACTCAATATGAAAGTTTGCTTTTCTCTGAAGCTGAACTTGCCTCTTGTGTGTGTGTGGCAAGGTATGCAGGCGGGCACAGAGTTCAGCTACAAGCATGCTCAGAAAAGGTGTGTGTGGTGTTGCATGAAGGCAGGCCCGAAGCATGCCTGCAGCTGAGCACCCCTTACTCTAGAGTAGAAATAGCAGATGCCAGGTAAGAAAAATGGAAGCCTTCTTAAAGTGTGCGCTGGGAAGGGGAGCCAGTGGCTGGAAAGTCCCCCTTCTCATAATGGTCTGATTTTTGGGGTCCCATACTGAAAACAAATATCTACCCTCTCAATTTCACGACGCTTCCAAAAATCGGACTGGGAAACCCAACGAAAGCCAGAACATGAAACAGGACAAGGTTTATCCTGAAAGCACAACCCTTATAATAAGGGCCATGTTGCAACTCAGAGTGAGCTTCACCTTGCTGCCAAACACCAACACACAAGAGCTGTAGTTTTATAGTTTATTGAGGAGAAAATCCAAGTCAAAATAAAGAATAAGCATTGCAAAATTCCAAAGATTAAGGTTAAAAGCAGAATATAGTTCCAAAGATCTTCAGGTAAAAACAGGAGACATAATCCTATCGGCAAAGTTCAAACCAGAGTCCCAGGTACAGCGCAATGAAACAATTGCCCCATGAATCACCATGCAAGAACTCCCAAGCGTATTGCTTTCCAGGCTAAGATTATTCCATGAAGCTTTCAGGCTAGTAAGCTACATTCAACTGACACTTTCACAGAGTTTCCAAGAGGCCTAAATACCTTTCTAACATCAAAACATTAGGCTCTCAGCATCATAAAAGCATTGCGATGACCTTTCACCGAGCTGGCTTCTCGTCTGCTTACCAGACGCGAACTCCGCCTGACCCGGAGATCAAAGCGAGCTTCCCGGGTCAAGTCACTATCTACACTTTCGGTATCAGCGTGGGAAGGCACCTGCTCGCTATCTCCTTCGTTAAAATTCCTTTCTCGTGAAAACAGCTGTGTTGATACTGCACTGTCTGTGAGAGCCTCAGAAGCAGGCTCAGAGATTTGAGGCACAGACAAAGAGTCAGGAAGCTGAAATCCAGCAGGAATCTGAATCCCATCATCCTCATCGTCAGAAAATAGCTCAGCCACAACAGGCCATTTGATCATACAGAAGTAGATAATATTGAAAGTCACAAGTAGCAAAATGAACCGCCCAGATCCTGTTGTTACTCCAGACTGGAATAACAACAGGCTCTGCTGTTATTCAGGTCCCAAGACATTTTGCCACCAGTAACATCAAGAAATTGTGTCCCTGCCTACCTAAATAAAGTCCAGACACATGCAACCCAGCTGTTGAAATCAAAAAGAAAAACCTTACCATCTTCTTGGCAGTCAATGTGTTAAATTGCATAGTAAACAGAGAATTGTTCGCTGATCGTTTATGACATTCAGCTATGCTTTTCAAGCCACCTTACTTCAATATACCAGTACACGGCTTCCACTGCCTTCCATAAGGATTCACCATTCATCCCCAGGTGGCCATCTTCCCTGAGAAATTCTTTTACATTCATGCTCCCACAGTAGATAGAGTGAGCTTTACCGTCATAGCCCAGCTTCAGCAAGATCATCTGAAAGAGCTGCACTATGAGTGAGGTGAAAGAGGTGGCGGTGTGCACAGCCACTTGCCGAATCTTATTTGTGTAGAAAGAAAGGCCTCTGGACTTGTGTTTTTGGCTTCAATCCCTGGAATAGATTCATGAGGATGGCAAGTGAGGTGTGGAGTAGGCCGTGAGGACTTCCTTGCGCTCGGAGAGCATGCTGCAGTCATTGCAGGTGTAGCCATTGCTCAGTGTGCTCTGGTTCTCAGTCACTACAACATCCTTATTGGCCTGGATCACTGTCGCGCTTCCACCTTTGAGATCACCGTCATCGTCAAGTCCCCAAAAATGGTCAACGGCTGTTTGCTCCTGTATTGAAGACTCATCCAATATGGTTGACATGAGAGACCCATCACTTGTTTGACTACTGAAGCTACTGTGGCTGAAAACGGAAGAGCCGGGCACGTTTTTCCATAAATTGTACTTTACAGAGCCAGATTGTTTTGCCACACTTTTGTGTTGTTTCGTAATTTTGGCTGACTGGTCTACCAAAGCCTTCTTCCCAGATTAGGTGTTGGGGTTCAGCCTGAGTTTGAACTTGAACCTGATTCTCTGTTTGTTCCTCCTGATGCTAATGAAAGTATATTTACTGATGCTAGTGGAAATGTACCTTTTGATGCCAATGCTCCTGAAATTAGTGAGGAAGAAACTGCTGTAGGTTTGGAAAATGCCAATGTTCCTGAAATTAGTGAGGAAGGAACTTCTGTAGATTTGGAAAATGAAAGTACCAGTGTTCATGAGAATGTTTCAGAGGGAGACCTTGAACTTTCCCTCCCTTCTGCACCTGTTAACTGTAATGACAACAGAAGGGGCCAAATTTGGGAAGACAGAAGTAAATCACTCAGTTTGCGTCGATCCTCCCGAATTCAAGAATTAAAAACATTGGCTTCAAAACAGAAGGGCGGTTCACGGAACCAATTCTTGAGTTTTAATTGCAATACGCCGAGCTGATTGTCTCAGTTCAGGCATCGTTTCAGAATTGATGAAGACCTTGGCAGTTCTCCCGGTTCCCTGGCCATAGTTTGGGAAGATTTCTAGGATATCAAGTACGGTTAGTGGATTGCTAACAGATTCCAGTATTTCACAGTGAGGCTTTTGGTTTTGCTTTGTCCATTTAAATTCATGTTTGCTGATTTTGCTGTGGCTTTTGACTTGCATTTTTCCTTTATTTTGTAACCATTTTTCTTCAATAAAAAGGATTGTTTTTCACAGCCAAGTGTGGTGGATAGTTATCTTAGGGCCTCGTTCCCTGCTCTGGATTGCAACATTAGGAGATGCTGCTTCCAGCGGCATAGACCTTCTCACTGGAAACATCCTTGGTCATGCTGTATGCAGCGGCAGACAAGTGCAAGCTGCGCCTGGACATTCTCAGAGAGTCAAACACAGGGTCCAAATTGTGCTCTTTCTCAAAATCCAGAGCAGCTAAGGAGTAACTTGAAGTGAGGCACACGGCCGCGCATGTGCACACTCTCCCTTCTGCTGTGAGGTACCACTTCAATATATTTGAAAGCAAAGTTCTCTCTCCAAATATTTCAGCTTTCTCATGATGACCTTGCTCCTTGATTGCTGGTGTTGCCTCTTCTCTGAACCCAGCTCTGCAGGATTCCTTTAGAGGTTCCATTGATCAATACCTCATGAATAGATACAATTGGGATGAGGGGATCATGGGTTGCTGACATTTGGGAGCTCTGCCATCCATGCTCAATTTGCTAGCTCACCCTTGTTTCATGGAGGTCCCATCAAATTGATTCCTTTTTGGTCTCTGGACATCACAGTCTTTCACTGCAGAGCTTCTCCAGCAAACTGACTTAGCCTGTATGCCCTGAAGACCTCCATGGTTGTCTCTTTCCAGTCATAATCAACCCTGGACAAGATTTTAATGAGGGCAGAGGTCTCCGGATGAAATAAGCACACGGTCCCAGAGCCTTCTAAGCAAAACCTAATGAAAAATATATGCTTTCTCCCCCATGCGCCATCTCATTTTCACATTTCACAAATTACCTCTGATAATGCAAGTTGCACCCATACTCCGCTATGAGTTCAGACGCTGAACTTGTGAGTCTTTGTCACTTCATCTGGCATCGAGTAATTCCATACCAGAAGTCTGACATTTCCATTTGAGGAGAGAAAAAGAAAGAAAGAAAAGAGAGAGAGAAAAGGAGATACATTGATTAAAATTCAATAGGCATGGAGGGCTCAGCTTTTAAAGGTCGGAGAATCCAGCAGATGATCAACTGTAAAATAATTCAACATTTAGTGCGGCACGAGAGAGGGGAGGTAAAGAGATGAGAGGGGAAGCATTCAATGCTTTGGCTGGCTGGAGATTAACCAAAGAACTGTAATTGCAGCCAATGCAATTATAAATTGACGAACAGATAACCTGCTCCTCACCCTAGTTGAAGAAAATCAGGAGTAACCTTTACTTCTTGGAAGAACAGAACGGAAAGTTCTGATCATGCATGAGAAAGAAAATGCTTTTTATTCTCAACTAGCTTGGGGACGTGGTGGTGCCCGGGTTATTTGAGAAAGGCATTGTTTGTCTTTGCTTCAAGTTTTATCTAGATACAATGTTCGCTGGGTTCAGTGGGTGCGGGTGAACTACAACTCCCATATGCAAGTCCCATCGTCCATGGCCCATCCTCCCCCAAACCATACCAGGATGTAAAGTGGGTCATGGGGGTTATGTGTGCCAAGTTTGGCTCTGGTCCGTCATTCATGGGGGCCGCAGTGGCCTGTGAAAGTGGCAGCCAATCAGAACATTGGCACATAGATACATACACCACCCTCCCACCCGCCCGCCACATACAAACACTGACTTTTATTATATACTAGCTTGGGGACTTGGCAATGTGCGGGTTATTTGGAAAAGACATTGTTTGTCTGTGTTCCAAGATTAGTCTAGATCCAATGTGAGGTGGGTTCAGTCAGTATGGGTGAACTACAACTTCCATATGCAAGTCCCATGGTCCATCCTCCTCCAAACTGCACCAGGATGCATAGTGGGTCATGAGAGCTCTGTGTGCCAAATTTGGTCTTGATCAGTCATTGGTGTGGGTTGCAGTGATCTCAGAAAGTGAGTGAAAGTACTGCAAGTCCCATCATCCATAGTCTGTTGTCCCCCAAACCACACAAGGATGTAGAGTGAGTCATGGGGGCTCTGTGTTCTAAGTTTCATCGTGATCCCTCATTGGTGAGGGTTGCAGTGGTCTCAGGAAGTGAGTGAAGGTACTACAAGTCCCATCATCCATGGTCTGTTGTCCCCCGTCCCCCCCAAACAACACCAGGATGTAGAGTGTGTCATGGGGGCTCTGTATGCTAATTTTCATCATTGGTGAAGGTCACAGAGGTCTCAGGAAGTGAGTAAAGGTATTGCAAGTTCCATCGCCCATGGTCCATCCTCCATCAAACCACAACAGGATGTAAAGTGTGTCATGGGGGCTCTGTGTGTGAAGTTTCGTCATGATCCTTCATTGGTGAGGGTTGCAGTGTTCTCAGGAAGTGAGTAAAGGTATTGCAAGTGCCATCGCCCATGGTCCATCCTCCATCAAACCACAGCAGGATGTAAAATGTTTCATGGGGGCTCTGTGTGCAAAGTTTCGTCGTGATCTGTCATTGGTGAGGACTGCAGTGGTCTCAGGAAGTGAGTGAAGGTATTGCAAGTGCCATCGCCCATGGTCCATCCTCCATCAAACCACAGCAGGATGTAGAGTGTGTTATGGGGGCTCTGTGTGTGACGTTTTGTCGTGATCCATCATTGATGAGGGTCGCAGTGGTCTCAGGAAGTGAGTGAAGGTATTGTAAGTGCAATCGTCCATGGTCCATCCTCCATCAAACCACAGTGGGATGTAGAGTGGGGCATGGGGGCTCTGTGTGCCAAGTGTGGTCCTGATCCTTCATTAATGTGAAGAATTAAAGATGCTCTGAGCTCCCTTCAGGGTGAGAAGGGTGGCATATAAATGTCGTAAATAAATAAATAATAATCTATGTATATAATAAAAGTCAGTGTTTGTATGCGGAGGGAGGGAGGGCAGTGTATGTGGCAGCTTTCTGATTAGCTGCCACTTTCACAGGCCACTGTGACCTGCACAGGTGACGGACCTGGACCAAACTTGGCACACATAACCCACATGACCTCCTTTATGTCCTGGTGGGGTTTGGGGGAAGTGGACCACGGATTATGGGATTTGTAATACTTTCAAACGCTTTGGCTCCCACACACCACTGTGTCCCCACACCAATGACAGATCAAGACCAAACTTGGCACACAGAGCCCCATGACCCACTCTACATCCTGGTGCTGAGGAGGATGGACCATGGATGATGAGACTTGAAGTACCTTCACTCACTCTGAGACCGCTGCGACCGTCATCCAATGACTGATCAAGACCAAACTTGACACAGAGCCCCCATGACCCACTCTACATCCTGGCACAGTTTGAAGGAGGATGACCATGGATGGTGGGACTTGCAGTACCTTCACTCACATCCTGAGACCACCGACCCTCATCCAATGACAGATCAAGACCAAACTGCAAACAGAGCCCCCATGACCCACTCTACATCCTGGTGCAGTTTGGAGGAGGAGGGACCATGGATGATGGGACTTGCAGTACCTTCACTCACTTTCAGAGACCACTGCGACCCTCATTCAATGACTGATCAAGACCAAACTTGGCCCACAGAGCCCTCGTGGCCTACTCTACATGCTGATGCAATTTGGAGGAAGATGGACCACAGATGATGGGACTTGAAGTACCTTCACTAACTTCCTGAGACCACTGTGAACCATATAAATAACTGATAAAGACCAACCTTGATACACAATTCCTTTCTCATATAACCTGGGCACCGCCGGGTCCCCAAGCTAGTAATAAATAAATGTGGGTCACAGTTGTCTCTGGAAGTAACTGAAGATACTGCAAATCCCATCATCCATTGTCCATTCCCCCCCCCCCCAACTGCATCAGGATATACAGTGAGCCATTGCAGGGGGGTCTGCGTCCCAAGTTTGGTCCAAGTCTGTGATTAGGTTGTTTCTGAGTTTGGGTTCTGGTTGACTTTGGGCTGCGGTGAACCAGAAGTGAGGTGACTCAATCATGATGTAAGGCAAAGCAGAGGCGACATGCCATCTTTGTATATTCTCCGCCCTAATCATCTTTGTTGCATGGAAGCCAAAAGGCCTGACATGATGTTGATTATGCAGGAGTGCCTTCTTAACAACTTTAATCGGTAGATAATCCAATAACGTTCACAGCTGAGACACTCTCTTATCACCTGATGACTGAGGGAGAAAATGTACAATTGCATCAGCTTACTCATTATTGCCTGACAGCAGGAAAGCAGAGCATATTGGGAGAAAACATTGATTCTTTGCACCAATTCTCCCCAGTGTTGTGTTTTCTTGGATTGAATAAATCAGGGGAGAGAATTTCTCCTCAAACAGTACTCATTCATTGGTTTATATAGCCTGGCTTTTCTGTAATGAGCTTCAAGGTGGCATATGTGCTTCTTCTTCTCACTTAGTTTCCACAATAATTCTTTGGGATGTGTCAGGCATGGCCATCCAATGCATTTGATGGCTCTATATGCACCAGCATTAAGATCATTACTGACTGAAAGGTCATGAGTTCGAAGCCCACCAGGTCGGAGTGAGCTTCTGACCATCTGTGTAACTTACTGTCGACCTTTGCAGCCCAAAAGACAGTTGCATCTGTCAAGTAGGAAATTGAGATATCGCTTATGCGGGGAGGCTAAATTAACTAATTTACAATGCCATAAAATCTCCAGCAAGCAAGCAAAAAAATGAGGAAGTACTCCATCAGTGTCACAAATGGACGGTGAAGTGTCAGCTCCCCTGGTGGCCAGAATACTCTCATGAAGCTAGAATGTTACATAGCCTCTGTGTATCTGTCTATATATGTTGTGTGTCTATGGCATTGAATGTTTGCTATGTATATGTGTCAGGTTTTACAATGTATTGTAATGCAATATAGCTGAGTCATGCACTGCTAATATGCTTCTATTGGAAATGCTGAGTCATGCATTAACTGTATATAGGACATCAATTGGGGAATGAGTTCTGGCCTGGTCCAAATGAGTGTTAATGGTGCAATCCTGGGTTTGAGTTAAGTTGATGAGTGGGGAACCAATCAGAGATTGCTATGTGTAAATGAACAGAATTGTATATAAGGAAGTCATGTACAGTGTATTCTCTCTCTCCTTGTGCTGTGATGCTGTTTGCCGAAGGCTCTGTGTAACTGATTAAAAGAACCTGTCTGCTAAAACAAGATATAACTGTGTGCTGTGGTAAGTTTGTAGTGTCATCTACAAACTTGGGGGGGGAGGGGGCAATGGTTAAACTGACAATAGCCGGGCATGTGCTCAAGTGTCTGTAAAGAGTTCCAGCGTGACTGCAGTCTGTGCGAGCAGTTGACTGAAAATACTGTGCAGGAAGAAGCTACTGGAAAGCGCTGAAGTTGTGCAACTGATCTGCTGCTGAATTGTGAGATAAAACACGACAATATGTACATTGTAATCCACCCTGAGTGGCTCACTATAGAGCTGGCTCAATATAGAGCTTCAAATGCTGGAGAAGGGAGTGTTCTTGTATTCAAGACCTAT